TTACTCAATCTTTTAAAATGATTAGACTTAACATAATTGTTCAAGTCTTGCAAGTCATACAATTGAGCTTGAAAAGTCTCCAACTTCTTCAATCCGCATACTTCTTCTCCTTTTATCTTTAAAGTGGTCGATTTGGAATATACTGTCAAGTACTGGAGGTGAGAGAGGTTACTGAGTATTTGTGTCGGTAGCTCCACCAATTTTGGACACCATAAATCAAGATATTGGAGATTTACAAGCATATCAATGCCTTCAGGGACCACATCAATTCCCGCTTTAAGCATATCCAACTTCTTCAATGCCTTAAGCTTTGCTAAGCAAGGCACATGTTTTAATTGCCTACAATCACGCAAGAGCAATGTAGTAAGATTCTCCAAATTGCAGATGGAATGAGGTAGACTTTCAATGCTAGTTTCAGAAAGATTTAGACACTTGAGCCCTTGCATGTTTGCAAAAAAGCAACCTGGAATTTGGCTCAATTTGATATTCCCTTGCAGCATCAAGGTTGTGAGAATGGGACAATTTGGGCACATGTTTAGAGGAATATCTGAAATTCCATTCTCCATCAAGGAAACCTTTTCAACATTTTCAGTCCAGTCATGCTCATCTGGTATCTCTGTCAATCTCATACGAGCTCTCACCATAAATTGAGGACCGATGCGCAATGCCATATCTCTCACAACATCATGCATTTTAATAGTGTCCTTGGAATGACCGTTCTCTAACAAACAGTTGTTCTCAAGTTTGTTTAATATGAAGTGTCCATTATCAAGCATTACTTGTCTACTTGACTCTTCAATAAGTCCCTCATCAATCCATTGTTCAACCAGATCATCTCTTCTAATTTCATAGTCTTCAGCATATAGTGAGCAAGATAAGAAACAATTTTGGATATTTGAATCTTGCAAACGATCATAGCTGAATTTCAATCTCTCGAATATCTCATCTTCTGAACCTTCGGCTGTAGCTCTTACGCGTCTGCGTAATTCGTTTAAAGCATGCCTCCACTCACAAACATTAGTTACTCCTTTCATGCTCCGAGCTATTACAACAATAGCCAAGGGTAGTCCAGCACACTCCTCCAGCATGGCTTTCCAAAATCCTTCCAATTCTGGAACTTGTAGAATGTCCCTTCCCACCTTATCTAAGAACAAATTCAAAGACTCTTCCTTTGAAAGAGGAGACACTTTAACTATTTCACAACCAAGGGACTTGCATACATCCACCTTTCTACTAGTAATAACTATTTTGCAACCATTTTCCACTGCTGGTCTCAAGATTCCAACATCTTCAAGCATAAATCCTTGCCAAACATCATCTAAAATCAATGCATATTTCACCCTTCCCATCATCTCCTTCAATTCTAAAGCTCGCCTTTGTTCATCCTCATTCTTTCGGAGCCTTTCATTCATCCCCTTAGCAATTTCATCTTGTAATCTACCCACATTGAGTGGATGTGAGACAGTAACCCAGATCACTTTATCAAATCTGGACTCCAATAGTAATTCATCATGGATATGCTTCATAATGGTGGTCTTCCCAACACCCCCGATTCCACAAACACCAATCATTTGGACCTCATTGCCTGTCAAATATCCCCATATCTTTTCCTTCACAGAAACCTCGCCTTCTAGATTCTCTACCCGAAAAGGCAAAGCAGTTGCAGGCTTATTAACTACCAGTCCTTCAGAAAAATTGCCTCGTCCAAGAATATCATCTAGCTCAACAATTTTTTTACAAGCATGTTTTCCAAGGCGAGCTCGTGAGAAGTATGAAACACCAGGCAGCTCTTTTAAAACATCTTGAATTTCAGCATTAATCTTCTCTACATCTTGAAGCCATACCACCACTTCCTTTTTGGCCTGTTTTTCTGAGCAAACCTCGTCTTGTAGCCGTCTTTCTACATCTTCTTTTCTGGCCTCAAGAATTCTCAATTTCTTTCTCAGATCTTCTGCATTTTCTTTGAATTTTCTATGATTATCTACACAACTTCGTGTTGGAGGTGCTACACACTTTATGAATTCAAGAATTACTGTTGCAATTTCCGCCATGAGGAAAATTCCTGAAATGTGACACCAGTTGACGTACTTAAGTCTTTTGTTTGCTTCAAATAAAGAAAAAAAACATAAATAAGTAAACAATCTTTAGTCCTCCTTCCGATACATATTTACGGACTTGGTGGATTCATTGCCTCATATTGGGTTATCTAAACCAAATTATTTGATTATCTTATGTTCTTTTTGTATGTATTACATTGATTCTGCATGTGTCAAGGATTGTCCACATACACAAGTGAATCCATGGGAAATTACTTAGTTAAAATTGAATTGTTTAACATACGAAACTAATACATATTTGTCATATTATGTAACGAAAAAACACTTTCGTCATGGTGAAAGACAAATCAAGTATGCATATGTTTAGTAGAGATTCAACTAGAAATTAAACTTTTCTATACGTCCAAGAGACAAAAAACAGATAAGAGCAGGGATGGAGCCAATGAAGGACAAGGGGGGGCAGCTGCCCCCCTAAACTTTTGAAAAATAATTAATATAGTACTCTAACTTTTATTTGTTAAAAATTTTGTTTTTATAGTATGGATTTTAAGGATCATTTTAATGTAGAGAGAATATTTATGATCTAAATAAAAAATTTTCAAAAAATAAGGATATGATTTAAATAAAATGAGTTTTAGGAGAATTTAATTAATTAGGAATTTAGGGTTCTTAAACATTTCCTTATCTATTAAACCCCAAAAAGCAAACTTTGATTTTTTATTTAATCAACTTTAAATTTACACTTTTCTTTAGCATTTTTTTATTTTCTCTCTTAATATTCTATATAATAATTTACGCTTTTCTTTACTATTTTTATTTTCAATCTTAATATTCTATAAAGCCTAAAAAAGAAAACTTTGATTTTTTTATTTAATCAACTTTAAATTTACACTTTTCTTTAAAACAATATAATTTTGTGATGTTTTTCTTCTAATTTTTTAGAGATTTTATGAACAAAAACACATTTCTTTTTTTTAATTCATTCTTCAATTGATCATTATATGATTTATTACCATATTTTATTTTTTATTATAATAAATACATTCATTTCTAATCATTGTTAAGAATATATCAATAAAAAAATCACAAATAAATCTTTTTATAAGAAAAATAAAATTTTTTTAAAAATATATTATAAAAGATACCTTAAAAATCCAAATCTTAATTTAATACTAATTTTTGCCCCCCCTAATTGATTTTTCTGGCTCCGTCCCTGGATAAGAGTAGTATAAAAAGTAGTATATGCCTACAGATCAGGTGGCGAAATGAGGTAAGGATGTTGAAAATATGTGGAGTTGGAGGCAGAGCAAAGAAGTACAAGAATGGTGCCGGCCAAAGATCTGAACAAACACATAACAAATAACCATCACAAATAGAGATTAGAAAATAATAAAGGTAGATGATTAGTTATAACTTAACAGTAGATGACATACCGTAAACTAGGGAAGCTAAGAAGAAGCGAAGAACCGGGTGAGAAGTGTAAAGGCAGAGCAAGGAAGCACAATATTGGTAGCGGATCTGAACAAACACATGACAATAACCATAACAGATTAAAACATAAATAACAAAGGTAGATCAGCTATAATTTTTATTTTTTTGAGGAATATATCAGCTATAATTTCATTTCCTTAACAACAACATACAGAAATATAAACATGATCAGTAGATAACATACCTACAGTCTGTAGCTAGGCTAGGCTGAAGAAGCTGCAAAGAGAGTAAGCAAAGAAAAACTGAGAAGTGTAAAGCTTATTGAGTGCAGAAAAGGAAGACCTATATTTTCCAGCAGGGAAGTCAAATAGTCAATGTAGAATTGTTGACGCACAGTTGCAAAGAAAAGCAGGACAAGTTAAAAAAAGAAAAAGAAAAAGAAAAAGAAAAAGTAGGTGGAATGGGAATCCAAAGTTGATAGGCATAAAGCAATAAAGCATGCAACAGTAGTAACAGTGGTCGTAATTATAGATCCTTGGTGCGTTTTAATAAAGTGAGGATGACCTTGGTGTCGGTGAGTCAATGTAGAATTATTGATGCAGTAGGTGGTTGGATAAAAACGCATCACAATTTCTCATACTATAAACAAACAGAAGAATCCAAAGGTGACAGCTGTGTATGAAATTTAAAAATTACGCACTATTTTTTTTATATATATAATTATTGAACAACACAAAGTTTTTAAATTTTAACTTTTATCTTAAATAAAAATTTTGAAATTAAACAATTCAATTAAATTTTTATCAATAAATGACGGACTGCATGAACTATGCTTTTGGATCAATTGATTCACCTAAAACCTCAATATTTAGATTGAATTAATTCAAAGTTAATGACTTGAAAAGAAATTTTCATCTCTCGTAATTTTCATATGTTTAAAATAAATAAATAATTGATGGACTGTATAAAACAAAAATTGTATCGGAGACTGAATATTAAAAAATTATTGATGTGACACCAGAAGTTGTGAAACTTTTTAGGTGTGAAAGAGGGAATATTTCTCCACTTCTTTTTTGGCCTGTTTTTCTAAGCAAACCTTGGTCAGAAGTTGTGTTTCTATATCTAACTGCAATTAAGAGTGCTCAATTTGTCTTCCAAATCTTTTGCATTTTCTTTGAAGTTTCCGTGATTATCTACACAACTTCGTGTTGGAGGTGCTACACACTATGAATTCAAGAATTAGTGTTGGAATTTCTGTCATGAAGAAAATTCTTGAAATGTGACACCAGTTGAGGTACTTGAGTTTTTGTTTGCTTCAGATAAAGAAAAAAACATAAACAAGTAAACAATCTTTGTTCCCCTTTCCTATACATATTTACCAACTTGGTGGATTTGTTGCCTCATATTGGGTTATCTAAAACAAATTATTTGATTATCTTATGTTCTTTTTGTATGTATTACATTGTTTCTGCATGTCTCAAAGATTATCCATCATACACAAGACTAGGGAATTCGTGAGAAATACTTTGTTAAAATTGAATTGTTTAACATACTAAACTAACACATTTTTGTCATATTATGTAACGAAAAAAACACTTTGGTCATGGTGAAAGACAAATCAAGTATGCATATGTTTAGTAGAGATTCAACCAGAAATTAAACCTTTCCATACATCCAATTAGACCTGGCAAAAATCCACCCGACCCGTCAACCCGACCCTAACCCGACCCTTAAAAAACGGGTTAGGGTTCATATATCTCAACCCGCAACCCGTAGATAACCCGTATTATCAACCCGTACGGGTCACGGGTCAGGTTAGGGTCAACTCGCGGGTTGACGGGTTGACCCGTTTGTTTTATTTATTATTATTATTTTTAAATATTATACTTATCATCCTTAATTAATTTTCCTATTGATAACTCTTTTCATTAATTCATACTCCCTAATTTCTAGAGAAAGAAGAAAAAATTATGATAAATTTGATCTAATTACCCAAGTAT